GCCTCCTGCGCGGCCCTTGGTCCCCTGGGGCCGCTTGATTGACAGATGTATTGCCCAATAGGCGCGCTCATCTCTGCCCCGCTTGTTCGCCGGCGCTCGCTTTCTCCGTCTGCGGCTCGGACTCCGCGTCAGGCTGTCGGTAGTGGCGCGCTCACCCCCACGTCTCTGAGGAGATTCGATTACGCTCTTTTCTCTTGCACTGAGGGGTGGGTGAGGGTGGGTGAGATTCTTCTGGAAGAAGTGCCCCTTTAAAGGGGCAGGAGTCTTGGCTGGAGTCTTATCTAGTCTCCTGAGTATCTTGTGGGGTCCAGGGGGGTCGCTCAATTTGCAGAGACGACTCGTTCCTCACGGACCGGGGTGAGTGGGTGCACAGGTCGGGGGCAGGGGCTGCCGAGAAACCCACTGGGGTGGCTGGAATGTTGTTTCGAGGCTTGGATGTGGGAAGCGTTGTGAGGGGAGAGGAAATCCCGCCAAAACCCTTTCTGGACTGTAAGCGCCCTGAGGGACAAGAGTGCTCATAACAGATTCTTCAGCTGTAGCCCTTCTCCCTGCAGAGTTTGCCCCCCAGCGACTCTAGAGGCTTGGGTTGGAAGAACGAGGTCTCCGTAGATGTTGCTTGGCTGAGTGAGACCTGAGCTGCGAAGAGGTACGAGGCGCAGAGTGACTGGAGTGAATGAAGGCGGGGGGTGGGGGAGACCGCCCGGCTCCCACTATAAACTAGTCACACCTTTGGGCTAGTGGTAGACTAGCACGCCACCTAGGGACTCCTTGCCCCTGGGGAGGGAGCAGTAAAGTAGGTCTGTTGGCCATGGCTGCCCCAGGGACTTGGCTTTTGGGAAGACATCTGGTGATCAAGGACTTCTGGAACCCAGACAGGATTGCTGATAATTCTGTTTCCTTTGGCTCAAGTTGGGCTTGTGTTCCTGCCTGGCACTGTACACCCCCAGCCCCGACTCAGGCACACTCTGGGATTGGAAGGGCTTTTGAATAAGAATGTTGATCGTGGCTTACCAGCAAATAGCAATCCTTAAGAGGTAGGCTTTATTTACCCCCATTTTACTAATGGAGGGGAGAGGCACGAGGAAATGAAATGACTTGTCAAGTCAAATAGGGTCGAGATGAGAACTAAGATCTCTTGTACCAGACCATGGCATCTCCCTGGCGGTGCAGTGGTTACTTGTGATCCGCAAGATTGGCAGTTCGAAACCCACAGTGAGGTCGCTATGAGTCCTTATTGACTTTATGGCAGTAAAACAGGGTTGAGTTGAGCTGATCAGAAGATAATGTTACCACCTAACTGCCCTAACAAAAGCTACTAGCTGCTCCCAGGGTGAAAGATGAGGCTGTTTACAGCCATAAAGATATGCAGCCTCAGAAACAGTATATAGGGTTCCTTGAGTCAGAATTGACTGGCAGTGGGTGGTGTAGGGAGATCCTTTGGGTTAGAGACCTGGTGGCATAATCGTTATTTCATAATAGCTATTTAGACTACTAACTGAAAGGTGTAAATCCACTAACTGCACCAGAGGGAAAAAAGACCTGGTTGGTAATCTATTAAAAAGCCTAGGAAACTTAATAGAAGCCCTGGTGATGTAGTATAATGCATTTGAGCAGCCACCCCAAAGGGGGTAGGGGGGGGACACATTACTTTTCCTGTAAAAGTTTACAGTCCCAGAAACCCCTGTGAGGGGGGGGGCAGATCTGCTTTGCCCTTTTAGGGTCACTGAGTCTGACTTGGTCTTTGAGTTTGGTTTTTGTATTTTTCAGGAAACCCTATGGGCAGTTTGACTTTGTCCAATGGGGGTCACTGCGAGTTGGAATTAACGGCATACAATAAACAGCCTTGAGTGGAGTAAAGCCTTCATTTATAAAATGGAGACACACTAACTATGCTAATTCCAAGGCTGGTTAGGAAAGAACTTTGTATGTATATGCTAAATTGTCACCAAGGTGGTAAATTTTGTTTTTCTCCTTGAAATCTCCTCCCAATTCTTAGCATTCCTAGTCTCCTCCCAGGCCTCAGGGCAATACATCCCTGGAGGTCTTTCCTTGCAGTGAGGGCAGCAGTAAGTGCTTCCTATCACAGCCCCTGTGAGCTCCCACAGCATGGTGTGGGAAACCCGAGGGCTTTCTCTCCTTTACAAGGGTGGACTACTTAAATATTTTTAGAAGGAAGAATTTTTGAAGTTACAAAATGCACTGAGACTCAAATACTGTCCTGATCACCTTGAATCTTGAGCCCAGGAAGCCACTTACAACTTCACAGATGTTCTGAGGTCACTCTTAGAACTTCTATTTAGAAATATATAGCCATTGTATGCTGGGTGCACTTTTTGTAGGGAAAACATTGAAGCCCTATGTGATAGATATCTCAGAGATGCCTTTATTCTTGGGCATGGCCAAGGGAAAGGGTAACTGATAGGCCCGTGAGTGTATCTTCTGATGGGAGCCGTTGTTCATGTACAACATTAGATAGATGCTGTTCTCGTGTTCTTCCTTTCTGAAGCCTTCACCACCCCTCTCTTTCCGTAGTTGGTTATTATACAGCTTTATATATATTGTTTTTAGCTGCCACTGATTCAGACCCTGACTCTTAGGGACTTCCTACATAGTGAGATCGGACTGATAAGGTCCATAGATTTTCTTTGATTTTCAGAATTAGGTTGCCAAGTCTTCCTTCAAAACCCATCTTAGTCTAAAAGTGTCTGAAACCTGTTCAGTATCATAGCCACACGAGACTCCATAGGCAGACAAGTGGTAGGCTGCACTTGACGTGCATTGGCTGAGACTCAAACCCCAGTCTAACAAAGAAGGCGAGGATTCTGCCATTGAACCACCACTGCGCCTCCCCCCTAACACACATCATTAGATCTCTCCCCATCACATTATAGTGATCTGTTTACATCTCTTTCCCTACTATTGGATAGCTGGGAAAGACTAACTGCTTTGTCACTACACCTGGCAGAAATCATGTGTTTGATATCTGTTGTTTAATAAGGAGCCGTGGTGGTATAGTAATTATGCGTTGAGCTGTAATTCACATGGTCATCAGTTAGAAACCACCAACAGCTTACTAGAAAAAAGGTTGGGTTTTCTGCTCCCATAAACAGTCTCAGAAACTCAGCAGGGGGTTGCAGTGAGGATGACAGTGAGTTTGGTTGATATTATTTATTAAATATTAGCACTTTTGAGCCGGGCATCTGGGGTACAGCAGTGAACAAGACAGGCAAATATCTGCTCTCACAGAGCTTATGGGTCTAGTGGAAGGACACAGACAGACAATAAATAGGCAAATTACATAGTACGATAGAACTTTGTGTTACAGGGAAAAATAAAGCAGCATGAATGATGAGTTGCTAGTGAGAGGGAGGGATTGTGATTTTAAAATAGAGTAATCAGAAAAGATGTCACTGAGAAATGATGTCTATGGAAATACTTGAAGCAGGTTATGTACATGTCTGCACCGCAGGTTGTTCCGACCAGGATACAGCCAGTTCTCTTGATGGAAGGGTGAATGGGGTGTGTGTAAGCATAACATCTAGCTCACTGTTTCCTGATCTTTTCCTCTTAGGCCTGTTCCCTCAGTTACCAGGTGCAATGAGGAAACCCCGCAAGAAGTCTCGGCAGAATGCCGAGGGCCGGCGCTCCCCGTCCCCCTACAGCCTTAAGTGCTCACCTACCCGTGAGACCCTGACATATGCCCAGGCCCAACGGATCGTTGAGGTGGACATTGATGGACGCCTACATCGCATCAGCATCTATGACCCACTCAAGATCATCACAGAGGATGAGCTGACTGCTCAGGATATCACTGAATGCAACAGTAATAAGGAAAACAGCGAGCAGCCCCAGTTCCCTGGCAAGTCCAAGAAAGCTTCATCCAAAGGCAAGAAAAAAGAGTCCTGCTCCAAGTATGCATCTGGCACCTCCCTTCACCTCCCACAGCCCAGTTTTCGGGTAGTGGACTCATTCATCCAGCCAGAAGCACCTCCTCTGCCTGCTGCTTACTACCGTTACATTGAGAAGCCTCCTGAAGATCTGGATGCAGAAGTAGAGTATGACATGGATGAGGTAGACCTCGCCTGGCTGGACATGGTGAACGAGAAGCGGCAGATGGATGGGTACACTTTGGTGTCAGCAGACACTTTTGAGCTATTGGTGGACCGTCTTGAGAAGGAGTCGTATTTAGAGAGCCGCAGCATTGGAGCCCAGCAGTCACTCATTGATGAAGATGCCTTCTGCTGCGTATGTCTAGATGATGAATGCCACAATAGCAATGTCATTCTATTCTGTGACATCTGCAATCTGGCTGTACACCAGGAGTGCTATGGAGTTCCCTACATCCCTGAGGGCCAGTGGCTTTGCCGCTGTTGCCTACAGTCTCCCTCCCGGCCTGTGGATTGTGTCCTCTGCCCAAACAAGGGTGGCGCCTTCAAACAGACCAGTGATGGACACTGGGCCCATGTGGTGTGTGCCATCTGGATCCCTGAAGTCTGCTTTGCTAACACCGTGTTCCTGGAGCCCATCGAGGGCATTGACAACATCCCACCTGCCCGCTGGAAACTAACCTGCTATATCTGTAAACAGAAGGGTCTGGGTGCAGCCATCCAGTGTCATAAGGTGAACTGCTACACGGCCTTCCATGTGACGTGTGCTCAGCGGGCTGGGCTTTTCATGAAGATTGAGCCCATGCGAGAGACCAGCCTCAATGGTACCATCTTCACAGTGCGCAAGACGGCTTACTGTGAGGCCCACTCACCACCAGGTGCCACCGCTGCCAGGAGAAAGGGTGACTCCCCTGGAGGCCTTGGTGAAGCTGCAGATGAAGAAGGACTAAAGGAGGGTGGTGGGGAAGATGATGAAAAAGAGATGGAGGAGGGGCAGGAGGAAGGCCAAGGTAGGGTGAGTGGCCCCCAAAAGGGAGGAGTGTCCAAGAAAAACAAGATGAGTTTGAAACAAAAGATCAAGAAAGAACCAGAGGAAGCAGGACGGGACACACTCTCAGCTGCCCCAGTGGTCACTGTACCACAGATCCCCTCTTACAGGTAAACCTGCTCAGAAGGGTTTCCCCAGAACTGATGGCTTCTCTTGCTGGCATTGTCCCTGGCCTAACATCCCCAAGTGTGGTTGGTGGAAATCTTTTCTGTGCTCCCAAATTTGAAATCCTTTAGATGGTGAGCTAGCCTGGTGCAGTTACTGGTTTTGTGCCCTCAGAGTAATATATATCCTTTGAATTAAAGTAAGACAAAACACTTAGGCTGCTCAGAAACCAGAGTTACAGGGTATTTAAGGAAGTATTTTTCAAGAAGGTCACCAATGGCATTTTGGACAGGATAATTGTTCATTCTGTTCATGCACTCTTAGATCTTTAGCACTCCTGATCTAGGCCAGTTGCATCTTCTTCCCCAAGGATTGTCTGTAACAAGCTCAGATGCTTTCCACATATTTCAGAAAACCCTTAGAGGGAAAGAACTCCCAATTTACATCCCCTAAAGGAGTCAGTATCTCTAGTTTAAAAAGATCTGGCTTGGGTATGCTGAGAGACACTTTGGTAGCATAGTGGCTATTCATTGGGCTAAGATACACAAGGTCAGCAGTTTAAAACCACCTTTTTACTTCCATTCTATAAAGAGTTACAGTCTTGGAAACTCACAGGGTCAATTAGTTTTACCCTGTCCTATAGAGTTGCTATGAGTTGGCATCAACTTGATGGCAATGAATTTGGGTTTTTTGTTTTTGGATTGGGTATGATGAACATTTTGTGGGTGGGGAGAGCTTAAAATTTTTAATTATCTTTTTTTTTTTTGAGATGCTTGAAGATCACTTCTTAGTCATGTAAGCCACCTAGGCCCCTATCTGTAGAGAAACCACTATACGGGGGTTAAAAGCCATAAGGAAGTAAGGAGCTATTGGAAGAAGTGTATGAGAAGCAAGAGAGAGGGAAGATTTCCCAGTGGAGGCTCATCTTAAGGGTGACACTCATAAAAAGGTATACAGTCTTAGAGCAGGAAAGAATCTTGGAGAATATTCATCTAATGTAGTCCTTGCACCTTCTCCCACACCCCCAGATGAAGAAACCGCGGCCACAGGAGGTAAAGTTGCTCACTCCTTTATTCATTCAATGAGATGTTTATTGAGCACTTGCTATATGCTAAGTCCTGTTCTAAAGGCTGAGGCCAGCTAGAAAGCAACAGACCCTGGACTACTCTGGAACTCACGATGCTGAGTTCTGTTCCTGCTGTTCTCTCTCTGTTGAGAGTGGTAGGGAGAAAGGAGAACTGGAATGGGGAATGAGTTGTGTGAGGCAAATAGGCAACCAGACTTGCTTGGTTGGGGAAAAAAGGCACAAGAGTGGAGACGATCCATGAAACAAGTTAAAATTTTGGGACTTGAAATTTATATCCTAGTCGCAGAGTTTATTCTAGGCTACCCTATTTCCTGAGGGTGGGGTTGGGTGTGGGGTGGCCATGCTTAACTAAGATGGTTATGCCCAAGGGCTAGATTTTTTATTTGTTGTGGAGGGTCTTCCAGATACTTGTCACAAGGGGCAGCATATTATGCTGGCTACAAATCATGCAGGCCTGGGGTTTGAACCCCACTGCTTCTATTCATTAATTAATTATAAACCTTAGGTAACTTACTTACCCTTTAAGTTTAGTTGTAAACTGAGCCTACCTACATAGGGTCGTTGTAAGAAATAAATGAGATAATACAAGTAAAGCACTTAGCACAGTGCCTGGCAAATAGTAAGTGCTCAATAAATGGTGGCTACTGCTGCTGCTGCTATTTTATTATTCTTCTCCCTACCTGCACAAATGCTGTTGGCGCCCTCCATGGGCAAGAGGTTGTAGAAGGAGGTGGCTGCCTGCATCTGGACAGGTGTGCTTGGCATGGATGTTGGTGGGGGAATCTATCCTTTGGGGAAAGGCCTAGACGTGGGCCTTGATTTTGTAAGCTTGGCTTTGGGGCAAGAATGTCTGCCTATGGAGAGGAATAGTTAGCCCATCATGCTCATCTTTCTTAGACTAGGGGAGCAACAGTTAGCCCGTCATGCTCATCTTTCTTAGACTAGGGGAGCAACAGTTAGCCCAACATGCTCATCTTTCTTAGACTAGGGGAGCAACAGTTAGCCCAACATGCTCATCTTTCTTGGGCTTCACCTTGGTTGGCCGTGCTCATCCTCCTTTCAGTGGAATGAGATGAGAAAAGGTAGAGGGACTTTCGTAGGAGCAACGAAGCATCATTTACCCTGTAACTAACCATTTTGGGGAACACAGCATGATAGAGAAACCCTGGATTCAAAGTGTAACCACTCCACCATTGTATGAGCTACATTAGTTAATTTTGATCGTTTTTTTCCAGCCTGTTCCTCAGCTAGCTTTCCATCTTTTGTTTGCTTGGGAATAATGTTACTCACCTTACAATATTAATATGAAGCATAGATATAGTACGTTTTCATTAATTCCCTTCCTACTCCTCTGCTTCTCGTAGTGTTACAACCCTGATAGGGATTCTCTTTGAGGGTCCTGTAATGAGCCATGTTTTCTGATTCTTTTATATCTTCTCATCCAGAGCTTTTCTCATTTGCTTCAGTCATAACTAAACTGATGAGATTTGGGAAAAGAGGCTAGGCAACAGTATCCTATTGCACGCCTACTAACTTTCCTTCCAGTTATGGACTACCTACTGGTCTGGCACCCTCAGCCAGAGGGGGCAGGACACATTGTCCATAGCTTACTCAAGTACCTGTTCCCTTTGACTGCCTTTTTCAAGAGGAGAGTCTGGAGCACTAGACTTGGGACTAAGGAGCCAGGGACCACAGGAAACAGAGATTCTGGGAGACATGCTCCTTTGGAGGATTAGGACTGCAAGGCACAGAAGGTAGAAACGCAAGTGAAATAGCTCATGCTGAATCTGAGCTGCTTAACTTCATTGCCCTTTTCTAGCCTTTTCTCTGAGGCGAAACATTTGGCCACTTTCTTTCTTGCTCTGTATGGTTCAGAGATGAACCAGGGTCTGGATAGGATGCATGGGCTCTAATCTGGGCTACTCACTTACCCTCTCTTTCACTTCCCTGTGCCTCTACTCAAGGTTGAACAAGATCTGTAGTGGTCTCTCCTTTCAGAGGAAAAACCAGTTCATGCAGCGGCTTCACAACTACTGGCTATTGAAGAGACAGGCACGGAACGGCATCCCTCTCATCCGGCGCCTGCACTCCCACCTGCAGTCCCAAAGAAATGCCGAGCAGGTAAGTAGAGTGATGGGTGGGAAGTTGGCAGAGACTTAAGAAGAAGAGGAGGTTGGGCTTGCTGGCTTGTCTCCCAGTGCCCTCCAAGGAGCCTTTCTTTGTCTACAAGTCTTGCTCTCTTAAGTGGTCTACCTCAGGAATGGCTTCTAGCACTGTAGATTGCCTCCCCTTCCTGAGGCTGCTGTGGGAGTTTGTTCAGAGACCTTCACATTAGACAGTAGCCAGTCTGGGAGAGGCACGGCTTTGGGGAAAATTGTAGGGAAGATTGGAGGGTGAGCCCAACTTTCCACTATGTTGGAGGAAGTTCACCCTCCAGATGTGGCAGAGAGAATGGATGGGCTGTGGTGAATTAGAAAAAAGGCACCCTTTCATTAAGCCATTGTACTGCCAGAAAATGTTCCCAAGTAAGTATACAGATTTACAGTCTGAGTTGTAGTACACACACTACACAATTGTGATGGGCTTTGGGGGACTTATGAAGGATATATATAACCAGTCCTTAGCAGCTAGAGTTGCTGAATGTTTGGTGTTTTCCAAGATGATTGAGGCCTCCTGAGAGTTGCTGTCTCCATTTCAGAATTGTTAGCATCTTTAGCTCTCTACCTCTTCACTTGCTCCTTCATTTCTGTCTTTAAATCCCCAAACCACTGGTCCAGACTTGATGCAAGCCTTCCCTTAACTCTGACCCCCTTAGACTTGTGTCTGGTTTTGCTTTTGCCTTTGTAACCAATCTTCTGAAATGCCTATCAATGTTTAGCCTCCCCTTGAACCATTTTGTCCTCTTGCTCCCTTGAGCTCAGCTGTAGAACATCACGTGCCTTCTTCCAGCCCAGCAAGTCTTTTCCCAGACTCTCCCCTAATTGGGGAAATTGGGCTGCATTTGATACCATGGATCATGTTGTCTAAGAGTTCTGTGACATCATTTTCTCCTCCAGTAGCATAGTTGTTACAGGTTGGGCTGCTAACTACAGGGCCAGCAATTCAAAACCACCAGCCATTCCATGAGAGAAAGACTAGGTTTTCTATTCCCTTGAAGAGTTATAGTCTTGGACATACGAGGCAGTTCTCTCCTGCCCTATAGGCTTGATAAGAGTCAGAATGGACTTCATGGTGGTGAGTTTACGTCATCGTTTACCATGTGCTGACCCCGCTTCTCACTTCATAATGATTGGTGTTCCCAGTTACTAGGTGACCTGCCCATTTGCTTAGGAAGCTTGTCCATGCTTCATAGTGTGACATAACAGTATGGCAGCAGTTCCAGGTTTTCTGCATTTTCTCACCCTTTTTTTCTGCCTTCAGTCTCTGGGACACGTCACTGAATGTTGTAATGCAAAAAAGTTGGAAACTGAAATCACCATTTTCCTTTCAGTAAACTATTTCACCATTATTGTCATGGAAGCATCTCCCTCCTGAACTCTTAGGTCCTCACCTGGAGAGTTGATTCTTACAACCATGGGCCAGTTAATCTTACCATGTTTTGGGGGAGATTTATTTCCAAACACTTTAAGGAGCCTAGCTTTTTGTGAAACACCCAGTTCTGAGTTTGAATTGACTTGAGGACACCAGGTTGGGTTTGGGGCTCTATTTCCATTCTACAGCTACCTGCTTATGCTGTGCCCTTAGTCCTAGCAGTAGCTTGCTTTCTAGGAGCCCTGGTGGGATTGTGACTACATGTTAGCCTGCTAACTGCAAGTTGAGCACTTCAAAACCACCAGCCAAGTAGAAAGACAAGACTTTCTACTCCCATAAAGAGTTCGTCTCAAAAACACAGCGGCATTTCCACCCTGTCCTCTAGGATCAGTATGAATCGGACTGAGTGAGTTCTGTCTAGGTGTTCCTCAGCCTCTAATGCTCTCTTATCATAGCTGTGCTCACACACCAGTGTCCTCAATGTCACGTCCTTTTCCAGAATATATGTCCCCTGTCCACTGCTAAAGGAGAGGTTGGCCGTTTGAACCAAGCAGTCTGCACCTGTAAGAATTTAGTCTTGGAAACCGGATGGGGCAGTTCTATTCTGTCAGGTAGAGTCACTAAGAGTTGGAATTAACTAGATGGCAATGAGTTGGTTACCCAGGCCTGTCATTTTAGGTTTTTTGTCAGGTGGATCCTGGACCCACCGTCCTTGGCTTCTATGGCCAGGTGGTCCCATTGGTTCTAGGAAAGCCCTTTCTTATTGCTTTACCCCATCCACCTCCCACTATGGAGCCGAAAGAGGATTGCTCTCCCACCCCAGAAAGGCTTTCCTGGTGCAACCCCACCCATTCAGAATCTGTCTCTATGTCCTGTATCAATTTTTGTTATCTTCAGGCTAATATGAAGTCCTTGTGTTTCAAAACCTGGGTCTCCGCCCCTCAGATACACTAACCTTCTCTAGGACAGAAATAAAGTTTGTTGCTGTTTTACCAGTTCTCTCCAACTACTTAGTACAAGTTGAGAGTAAGAGCCTTCTTTTGTTTTCTAGCCAAGTTGTAGCCCTAGAGTGAAAGTCTTCCCTCCCTCGAGGTGTCTATTAGTTTCTTTCTAACATTCTTTGCAGCCCCAAGGGACGCAGCTGCTTTGTGGGGTCCTCTGGGATGGGGGAGTGATGCAGTTTCTGTTCCAGCCACGGTTTCTGTGTGGCAGTAAAGAAACCTGGTTAGAAGGCAGGAGGGAGGAATGGGGTATGGGGAGAGGGCAGAGTCTCCCAGAAGGTGGGCATTCAAGGAATGGGGTAGGGCTCCTCTTACCTGCCAAGGCCCCAGTTGCTCCTTCCCTGGCTGTCCTACAGCGAGAGCAGGACGAGAAGACAAGTGCAGTGAAGGAGGAGTTGAAGTACTGGCAGAAGCTCCGCCATGACTTGGAGCGGGCGCGGCTGCTGATCGAGCTAATTCGGAAGAGGGAGAAGCTGAAGCGTGAGCAGGTAAGGAGGCCCCCACCTCTGCCCCCCTCCCTTACCTCTTACTTTCTCCCTCTGGGGGTGAGCTTGGAGCCCCTCCCAAGTGTCAGCTTTCACTCCCTCTCCTGTGGGCTTCGAAGCTTGCCTACACTATGTTGGGTGTGATGCTGTTGATAGCTCCCACTTTTTGACATTCCGTTTCTGGTGGCCCCACACACATAATACTAATCTCCTGTGCCTGGGTCCTCTCCAGACTTCTTGATTCAGGGTTGAGCCTGGTCTTAAATATTTTGGAAAACTCCTTCTGCTAAGCATCACCTATAGGTGAGCTTCCTAATGTTCTCACTTCTAAAGGGCCTTACACATTTTTATCTTGGGCGATTTAAAATTTCCACCCTCTGTTCTGAAGGCAGGAAATGTTGGGATAGTTTAACATCAGGGCTGGGAGCACCAGGCTGCTGGCTCTGCCTCTTCCTACTTGTGTGACATGGAACAAGTTACAGCATCTTATACCCAGTTTTGTAACCATAAGACAAGGACAACAATAGAGCCCACATTATGGGGTTGTAGGCTTAGATGGCTTCATATACATTGTAGAGCTTAGAGTAATATCTCACACCTGGCAGGGGCCATTTAAAGGTTATCCTCTATTACTATTATTATTATCATTGATATTCTTTGCCTCCTTGAAGTGTCTACCTTGGCACTCTGCTCATGGCAGAGAGTATTAACTGAATTGATGACAAGCCAAAACTGTTTTTTTTTCTGGTCTCGGAATAGCAGCTGTCATTTCCATATTGGGCTGACAGACTGTTTTTTTCTCTTTGTTGTTCAGCCCCAGCACAAGCCCCTTCCCTGGAAGGCCTATAGCCTGAACTTCCACCTCTGCACCCGGGCAGGTCTCCTCATATTTTTTGGTGTGGGGTGGCCATGGAGGACTTCTTAGGACCTTCATTACAAGTCGAACAAACTCAGTCATCCCAGGTCTAGCCTTGCAGCTGAGCCTCTCTCCTGGCCTCTGGTTCAGAGCACTGAGGAGAAGGCCAAGATCTCCAGAAGTAGGCAGGCCTATTTTGATGTAACCTGGGCCCAGTTCATGGCTTCCCAACCCCAGCCAGTTCACCGTGAGGCACATGGAAAACTACCTGTTCAGCATGCTAATGTAAACCAATGAGGCTGCGTGCTATCTGAGGTGGTAAGCCTAGAAGCTCTAGTCACCCATGCCGGGCCAGCCACCCCAAAGGCTGATTGGATCACTATTTCATTGCACGGAGTGGGAAGTTCTGGGACACAATTTGTCACCACTGGGCTCTTTGGAGCCAGTCATACCTGGGTTTTCAAATTGTGGCTCTGTTCTAGTTGAACGAATGACCTTGAGTTAGTGACTCCTCATAATCTCTAGTCCCTATTGTAAAACAGATAAGAGTTTCTCCTTCAAGGTCATTGTGATGAGTAACCGGAGTAATATAAGTAGGGAGGCAGTAGGGCCTAGTAGTTCACAGCACACACTGAACCCTAACTCTACCTTAGTGGCTGTGTGACCTTGGGCACTTCACTTAAGTCTCTTTATGCCTTGAGTTTTGTTTTTGTTTTTTTTCCCTTCTGTGCAATATTTTACCTCTGCCTCATAGTTGAGGATCAAATTAGTTTGTTATGCATAAAGTGCTGAGAATATAACTGTCAGTACTGTAAATGTGCTAATAAAAGTTGTGGTGTGGTGCTTGATACATAATAAACATTCACAAAATTGTAGCTGTTGGTATTGCTTCACATGTCCTGACCAGACTTAATTGGTAGGTGAGAGCCAAAGGGCTATCTTGACCTTTCCCCACTGCTGCTTCTCCCACAGGTTAAGGTCCAGCAGGCCGCCATGGAGCTGGAACTGATGCCCTTCAATGTTCTGCTGAGGACAACGTTGGACCTGCTGCAGGAAAAGGATCCAGCTCATATCTTCGCTGAACCGGTCAACCTGAGTGAGGCAAGTTCCTCCTCATTTCCTGAGCAGGAAATAGGTTCTGAGTAGACCAGGAGGTGGTTAGGCCACAGAGTGTACACACTTGGGGGGAAGGTTAGGACACCCATGATGAGGGGTTAGAACCCTAGGGAACAGGCTAGGGTGGGCCAGGACCCTGGGACTGTGAGTAAGCCTGATATGATTAAACCAGAAAATGGGGAGGCCAAGAGTGCCGGTGAAGGGTGCGTCCTGTTTGGCTAGTAAATGGTTGTTGTAATTGTACAGGTTTTATATGTTTAGGTTCCAGATTACCTGGAATTCATATCCAAGCCAATGGATTTTTCTACTATGAGGCGGAAGCTGGAATCCCATCTGTATCGCACCTTGGAGGAGTTTGAGGAGGACTTTAACCTTATAGTTACCAACTGCATGAAGTATAATGCTAAAGACACAATTTTCCACCGAGCAGCTGTCCGCCTGCGGGATCTAGGAGGGGCCATCCTGCGGCATGCCCGGAGGCAGGCAGAGAACATCGGCTATGACCCCGAAAGGGGCACCCATCTGCCTGAGTCACCCAAATTGGAGGACTTTTACCGCTTCTCCTGGGAAGACGGTGAGAAGCCCAGAAGGGTGGGGTGTGGGGGGAGGACCAAGAGGAGGCACAGAGGCCAGAGAACCAGGGAGCAGGGTGGGCCTTGGGGCATTGGGCAGACTCCAGGAACAAAGCTGAGCGTATGCCTGCTTGTGGCTGAAGTAGTTCCAGGAGTTAAAGCTTAACTAATGAACTTCACAGGTGTTGAGTAGTAGGAAACGGAGATCAGGTGCTAGTCTGGTTGTAAAGCCTCCACTGGGGTCTTCTTCTCAACCCCTGTGTGGAGTTGGAGCCCAGGGTTGGGGGAGTGCTTTGCTATGCTGGTGTGTCTGGCTTATTCAGAAGAGTGCAGGTCAAGTATCAGAAGCATGGAATTGCCTCTGAGCCCTGTGACTTGCCACTCGCTGCTTCTCGATGGCGGCAGCGCAACAGCCACTCAGGCCAGGGGATTGCCAAGCCACCTCGGGTCTGCTCCGTGGAGCCCGTAACTGTGTCTGTGAACTGCTTCTTGCAGATGGTTCCCACATTCTAACCTTGTCCCCGTGGCTACTCTCTGGGGAGTGGGGTTACCCGTGCCAATGCTAAACAGTGACACTTGAAAGCCACTGGCCCCAGCATTCCTGGAGAATATGTTGCATCTGGAGGACTCGACCCTTCCCTTTGCTCTGGATTGGACAGGTCCTTCAGTCCCTTCTGTCCTCCCTTCTTCCTGGCAGTGGACAACATCCTCATCCCAGAGAACCGGGCCCATTTGTCTTCGGAGGTGCAGCTGAAGGAGCTGCTGGAGAAACTGGACCTGGTGAGCGCCATGCGGTCCAGTGGGGCCCGGACCCGCCGCGTCCGCCTGCTGCACCGGGAAATCAACACCCTCCGACAGAAGTTGGCACAGCCCCCGCCACCAGCAGTGAACAAGACTCTGCTCAACGGAGAGCTGCCAGCAGAGCTCCGGGGAGATGGTGCTGTGCTAGAGCAGACCCTGCGGGAGGAGCCACAAGACAGTGGGGACAGAGGTGAGAGTTATGAGCAGGAAGGAGTGAGGGATTAAGGATCGACTGAAACCCCAGAGTGAGGGCAACTTTTCCCTACTTGATGCTCTGACCTTTGAGGGAAGCACACGTCCTTGGGGGAGGGGAGTCACACTTCTGAATATGCCTAGAGATGATAATTTAAGAGTCTATTGAGGCTAAACACTTGTAGATGCTGGAGAGATGATATTTAAGAGTCTGTTGAGGCTAAACACTTGTAGATGCTGGAGAGATGATATTTAAGAGTCTATTGAGGCTAAACACTTGTAGATGCTGGTTGTGTTGGAGGGGGCAAAGGATGCATCGCGCGGGTGTTTAGTTACTGGGTCGTAGGGAGGCTCCTTGAGCCTTTGGTGCTGGGGGCCAGCAGCTGTTTGTAATTCAGTAAAGCATTGTTTCAATATTTTCGACACCTGGTGGTCTAGTGGGCCACGCACTGAGCTGCAAACCACAACTGCACAAACCTGCCAGTTCCTTGGGAGGAAGATGAGGATTTAAAGCAGGGGTCCTCAAAAGTTTTTAAACAGGGCCAGTTCACTGTCCCTCAGACCCGTTGGAGGGCCGGACTATAGTTTAAAAAAAAACAAAAAACTGAACAAATTCCTATACACACTGAACATATCTTATTTTGAAGTAAAAAAACAAATGGGGCAAAAACACCCAGCGGGCTGGATAAATGTCCTAGGCGGGCCGCAGTTTGAGGACCCCTGAGTGAAGTGTTGGAAACTCAAAGGGGCAGTTCTGCTCTGTCCCATACATTGAGTTGGAATCAACTCATTGGTAGTGAGTTTGGATTTGTTTGCCTTTTTTCCTTGTATGGCTATAGTATACATAATCAGTTAAAAATAAGCCCATTTTATACCATCATGCAGAGCTTTTTTCAATGGCGGGAGTTGTAATCAGTTAAAAATCAGCCCATTTTATACGATCATATAGAAAGACTCAGAGCAGATTATTGGGGGTTAGGAGTAGAGTTGGGGAGAGGGGTGATCAGGGAAGGGTGGTCTGGGCTCTTGAGCTCCTTTGTTGACCTCAGCTGGCTGGGTATATAGGCCAACCCCAAGCAGAAAGGCCAAACTGCAAAAGACATCTGGGGAATGATTCTGCCAGAGACCCAGGGACCCAAGAGCTGAGCTGCTTCCAATTTTCCCACACTTGGTGCGAGAGGGCCTGCCATCTACCCAAGGATAGGCGTTATCTCCAGAGCAAAGAAGCCCAAAACAAAACAACAAAAAGACCCCCCAAAACCATTAGTTTTGTGTTGGCAGAGAACAGGGAAATGTTTAAGAGGTTGCACTTGGCTTGGAGGGCTTTGTGTCCCTTGTGATTTCCCCCTCGGCTTTCTGTGTGGCAGACACCACCCGTCTCCCATGCCTGGACCCTGGTAATGCAGACAAGGGCCCAGTGGACTAGATGCCACATCACCCATGGAGTTACGTGTTCATTTTCTAGGCCTCACCTCCCAGAGATTCAGGCTGTGGTTTGAACTCTGTGTCTGGAGGTCCCAAGGCAGTGCTAGGCAAGCAGACTTGTCTGGGAGCCACCAACTGAACTTATTTATCTTGTTTTCCACATGTGAACATCTTCTTTCTGCCTTCCCCACATGGTCTCACTTGGATGATACGACAAAATCCATGGACAGGTGAAAAAACTCACATTGCTAACCCCAAATCTGCCAAGTGGAGATGTAGCTAATTAGCATTAAGCAGGTGCCTTAGATAGAGGTGGGAGAGAAAGATCAGGCTGTCTGTCCTTATGGAGGGTCACTGTCAGACTTGACTTGATAGCAGTGGGTTTGGCTTTTCTTGGAGGGAGAGTAATGATTTTCAACCATTATTGTATCAGACTTACCTGATGAGCTTAAACTTTTTTTCTCCCATCAAGATTTGGTTTAAATTTTGTCTGGGGTAAGGCCTTGGCATTAGAGTTTTTTTTTAAAAAAAAGCTTCCTAGATGATTCTGAGAGCCGGGTCTGAGAACTGTCAGTACTCTTTAGTCATATGCACTCTTCCCCACGGGCCCCAAACCTCTAAGATACACCTCAAACCTTACGACAGTCCTTGGTTTCTCAGTGTTGGTGTCTGGTTTGTAGGGGCAGACTCTTTCTAAAATGTTCAAGCAGGCTCTCTTTTTCTCTAACAGATGACGCCAAACTCCCTCCCCCACCAACCCTGGAGCCTACTGGGCCTGCACCATCCTTGTCTGAGCAGGAATCTCCCCCAGAGCCCCCTACTTTGAAACCAATCAATGATAGCAAGCCTCCAAGCCGGTGCCTAAAGCCCAGAAAGGTGGAAGAAGATGAGCTCTTGGAAAAATCACCTCTGCAGCTAGGGAGTGAGCCCTTGCAATGTCTGCTCAGTGACAGTGGTCTCAACAGACTGCCCCTCACAGCCCCCGACACCCCACCTGGTGCCCCCCTCAGTGGCGTGGGCCGCCGCACATCAGTCCTCTTCAAGAAGGCCAAGAATGGGACTAAGCTGCAGAGGAGCCCCGACGATGGGGCCCTGGAGAATGGCGAGGACCATAGTGTTGCTGGCTCTCCTGCCTCTCCAGCCAGCATTGAAGATGAGCGGCACTCCCGGAAGCGGCCTCGGAGCGGTAGTTGTAGTGAGAGTGAAGGGGAAAGGTCCCCTCAACAGGAGGAAGAGACAGGTGATCCTGCTGGCAACTTGGCTCACTGCATCTCATCTGCTTTCCTGCTTTGCCTTGCCACCCAGCACCTTCCCCATCGGCCAGCTCCCTCATGGCCCCCTGGACTCCAGTAATATCGTATCTCACAGCTGGGCTTGGTGCATGAGTAGTGACCTGGGAAACAGGCTTTGAGCAAGTATTTTGTGAACACTAGATGTATCTGGGGCTCTCTCTGGCCCTGTAAAGGATATGGGGGTAAAATGGCCCTTATCTTCTAGTTCACTCATCAAATAATTACTGAGCACCCATCATATTATCAGGGATTATTCTAAGCACCTGGGAGGAAATCAATAAATAAAACGGACAAAAGGTTTTTTATAAAGAAGACAGACCGACAGCAAATGAGTAAATTATCTGATTTTGGAAGCTATGGCAAAAGTCAAGCAGTGATGGTGGATAGGAAATGCTGGGGTGGGAGAAGTTATGGTATTAAAGTGACCAGGGAAACCTAAGGAGGTGACGTGTGAGTAAAGATCCACAGAAATTTTAAGGAGTGAGCAATGTGGGAATATGATGGGAGAAATGTTCCGAAAAGATCTAGCAAGGGCCTGGATGTGGGAAAGTACCTGTCTATCTGGGCAACAGTGAAAGGACCAATGTGGCTGCAGCCATGTGAGTCAGCTGGCCGGAGATGTAGAGAAAGCGCTCAATCTCAAGAGTCCTTACCACATGCCCAGCTGGTCATGGGTCTAAAATAAGTCAAATTCAGATCCAGCTCTAGAATCTGCAGTTCAGTAGGCAGTTTGGATGATCTCCCAAAGATGCAGAGAAATCACTGTGCTGAGCAATATATGGTTGTGTCCATTGACAGCCCTGCTGGGGTGTTCAGGGAATACAGCCTGGCAAAGTGGGGAAAGTTTCATGAGATGGCAGCACATTAGGCCGTCCGTGAGGGTGTAGGGAGAATGGAACAGGTGGGACTGAGAATTATAGCCTGGGTCAGTGTAAAGGAAGAGGAAGAATCTCTGGGGGACGGACTTCTCAGAGCCTCTCGAGCCAACACGGCAGGTACTGTGGGCCTGGATTGAAGAAGCTTGATGCCAGGACAGAGTGGTTTAGTCTTGCTACAACAGGGAAGGCCAGCCTACTTGGGCTGTGGGCTGCTCTTGGCTTTTGCTTTTTGCCAATCTCATGTCCATGTATGTGGTGGCTTTGTTTTGTGAGATAAGCATTTGGCATTTCTCACTTTATCTTCCTGCCTAACACTCTCTGACAGTATCTTCCTTCATTCTGGATCAGGTTTCCCGATATTAGGAGAGTGGGTTAGTCGAGCCAAGAGCTTGAGGCCTGGAGTTAGGCAAAGCTATATTCTAGTCTCAACTGTATCCTGAGGCAATTTAGTTAACTGCCATACTTAATTAATATGGACCTAGATCCCTAGTAATACAATACTTAAGTGCTTAGCTGCTAAGTGCAAGGTCAAAAGGTTGGCAGGTTGACCCAACCAGATATTTCATGTGAGAAAGATGCAGACTTCCATAAAGATTACAGCCTTGGAAACCCTGTGGAGCAGTTCCAACTCTGTCCTTGTAAGGTTGCTATGATCTAGGGCGACTGTTGATGCCTCGCAGGTATCTGAGGGTTAGGAATTCCTTCTATAGAGCACTTGACTTAGACAACAGTAAACCAAACACCAAGTCCATTGCCATTTAATGGTTCCAGCGTACAGCCATAGAAGGTTACAGTTGTCATTGTCATCAGTTCTATTAGACTTAGCTACACAGCATGAAGAACACTGCTAAAAATGTTTACAATTTGGGAAATTGCCCTGGACGTTAGGCCCATGCAATGACTTAAATTGAGGTCAGAGCACTAGAGGCAGAATTAGGCCAGAGTCTAGACATCTTTGCTCAGATACAGGTGTGACTTGTCTCAAGTTTTCTGGCCAAAGTGTCCCTGACCGACGGTTCTTGAGTCAAGTGTCTGACACATCTCCACACTCCCTTAGCTCATCTGTCAGACGTGCAGGACTCTGGAGTGTTGTTAGGATTTGGTTAAGTAGAGAAGATGAAGGTCATGTCCCTGGGCTGGCTGGGCTATCTTCCGAAGGGCTCCCTACTGTAAACAGACCTCTCATTTATACTTAATAGCGTGTTCCCTAAATAAGAAGGTGGTACTTTCATTACCTTCATTAGAAGGGGAAGCCAAGGCTTAAAGAAGTGGGCTCTTGCTTATAGGCTGTTTTACAGCTAGGACTGGGGGGATTGTGAGTCCCCAGTCCAGAATGGTTTATGCTGTGTTCATGCTGCTGCAAGTCTATGCACGCTACGCCCTCCCCCCCCCAACACAAGCAATATCCCTTGTAAGATATCTGAGGGTGTAGTTAGCAGCCCTTATCCTGCCCCAACCTCTCCAGACTCCATCTTAAAAGGAGGAATAAGGTGGAGTCAGCTGCGTGATAGGGTGGGTAGGAGTGTTAATCAGAAGAAGCCAGGTGGGTGGACTCTCAGAAGCAGAGGAAACTCCCTGATAATTGAAGCTTGAAATGAAAAGCAGATCCAGGGCAGGAGCCAAAGCAGGGAGGTCTTGGTATTACCCTTTGCCAAATGACAGTAACCCAAGTTTTCCTTAAAGGGCAACTAAAAGAGTGGGAAGGAAAAGACATTTCCCCATCCAACAGTGTCGTGTTTTGCTGCCACACAAGACTAACTGCCCATGGAAGGAACAGCTGTCCTCTGCACCCCAGCCACTGCCCCGCACTGTAGTAGATGTCAGGAAGGGGGATACTGCACTCAGGCTCACTCTGTGTGTCCTTGGCAGGCGTGACCAATGGCTTTGGAAAGCACACCGAAAGCGGGTCTGACTCGGAATGTAGTTTGGGTCTCAGTGGTGGACTGGCATTTGAAGCCTGCAGGTAAGACTGCTCTCCCCAACAGCCTTCTCAGCAACTCTGCCTTCCCTCCTTTTATACTCTGCAAAAAAGTCAGCCTCTTCCTGCTTTCTCCGTTTTTCATTCCCCACTCCTATTTCCCGAGGCCTCTTGTCTGCATCTCTGGGAGATCTCAGGCCTAGTCGGACTAGGAGCAGAGCGGTAACACATACTGCACAGGGGTTATGTAGCTGAATTTGGGTCCTAGAGGGTGGAAACTGCTGAATTGCCTATCAGGTTAACATTAGAGCCAACTGCCCCACCCACCTTCACCCTTTGATGCATATTACAAGTGGTCACCCACCCTCCACCCCCTGCCTTTTTATTGTGAATTACGTCATGATTTTCCAGAGCAGGTTATCCGTTTCATATTCAACAATTCTAACACATTTTGTTTAAACTTCTCTAATATAGTCTCCTCACTGTACCACCGTCTGCCCTATTTCCTCCTTGTGTTTCCTGTTTCCTTTCCTCCTCCTCTTCTAACCCACTGAGCTCTGGCCTTGGGTGAATGGTGTCCTTTTGCTCTTCAGTGGTTGATGATTCTAACAAGGTGAGTTCAGTTCCGGGCCTGAAGGGTGACTAAGGACCATAGTCTTGGGGGTTCACCAGACGCCAGTAAGCCAGGTCATACTTAGAATTTTGGGTCTTGTTCCACATTTTTCGTTCACGCTTTTTGAGGACCTTTCAGGATCCTTTTCGGAGCAAATGGGGGTAGTCAGACAAAACACTCATCCAGTCGATTTCAAAATCCACGCAGACATCAACGTCAACAACCCGATATAGGGCTTAGGGGAGCAGAGATAGTTACCTTTCTCCCGAGGAGCGACTGGTAGTTTTGAACCACAGACCTTGTGGTTTGTCTCAGTCCATCTAGTTCTTTTGGCATTAGAGTTGTGGGAATTGATCCACTGGACTGACTGTTTCCTTGTCTAAGTCTTCATCATCCCTCTGGGTGGGGAGACACCAGTATCGTTGCACCTTAGGTGGTCACAGGCTTTTTAATACTAGACTTCTTTGTGTCGTACAACTCTCATCATCATCCATCCATCCACGGTGTCAAGCACATTTGTACATTTGTTGCCATCATCATTCTCAAAACATTTCCTTTCTACTTTAGCCCTTGCTATCAGCTCATTTTTCCCCTTCTTCCCCTCTCCCCCTTCCTCATGAACCCTTGATAAGTTATAAATTATGATTATTTTGTCATGTCCTACACTGTCTGATGTCTCCCTTCACCCACTTTTCTGTTGTCTGTCCCCCAGGGAGGAGGTTATATGTAGATCCTTGTAATCGCTTCCCCCTTTCCACCCCACCTTCCCTCCAGTCACAAGCTTTTAAGACCCCACTTTCTCCTCACCTAAATAGGATATGCAACCTCTCCTGAGACTATGGCCCTGGGCCCCCCAGGCCTAGGACTCATTTCCGTCAGGGGTTTGATTATGTCTAAGAAGTTTGTATAACTTTGCCCTCCATGTGCTCCCTCACATTCATGAGTGTATTTTAGTAATGGGAAATATCCCAGTACAAATGGCCTCTGTCAAATCAGACTTCATAGGTGCACTCCCACACCTGTTCAGCTTGCATGTCTACCCAGGTATCTACTTAGCGGCATGATGCAAGATTACGAAATGAACATATAAGAAATTTGTAAATGCCTATTATCCAACAGGTCCCCGAGTCTTGCTGCCCTAGGAAGGGATGGGATTTATTTTCTTTTATGTGAAGGGAGGATTTCTGAGACTAACTTTTCCAAGTTCAAGAGTTGTGGAGGCCCCTGCTCTGCATTCTGTGCCCTTGAAGGCAGCAGGGAGTGTAGGGCTCATGGAAGTGGGAGAAAGGACTTGTCCCAGAGGTTGACCCCAGGGTCTGTTCACATGGGCAGCAGAATGGATCCGGTGTTCAGAGTAAGGAAGGAAAGGTCCCAGGGAGTCCTAAGTTTAGGCTTCCACCTCTTTGTCTGATGTGTTTGCCAGAAAGGATGCCTTTCTAATGCCTTTCTAATCTCCGGGGAGTGTTTTGTCAGGTATCACTCTGGACCAACAGAACCTCCTTCAGTTGCTCCCTCAGGCCTGGACTGGCCCCACTGGTAGGATCCAGCTTTCAGTGGTGGCTGAGGGATTTTCCTCCCTTCTTTTGTCTTGAGAACTATAGGAGTAGTGGATAGGGAAAACACCAGGGCTTTAAACCAGTTTATTCCAGTTTGGTTGCCTGAGAATGCATTTCCACACCAGGTATCCTGAATCAAAATCTACGTTTTAACAAGATCCCTTGATTTGTATGTGTTTATATAATTGTTAAAATGCAGATTTCGATTAGTATATTAAGGAGAGGGGAGGTAAGAGTGCAAATTCTCACTGGGAGGTCTTCATTGGAAGCCCTTAAAATAAAAAATTACCACGCATAGAAGAGACAAAAGATTCCAGAATCTTATGTTTCTTTCTTGGTCCTAAGGAGCCCTGGTGGTGGTGTGGGTTATGTGTTGCCAGCAGCTGTTCACAGGAGAAAGATGAGGCTTTCTGCTCTGGGAAAGATTTTATTTACTTACTTAACATAGTATTTATTTATTAAATCATTTTATTGGGGGCTCTTAACAGCTCTTATCATAACCTATCCATACATCCATTGTGTCAAGCACATTTGTGCAAATGTTGCCCTCATCATATTCAAACCATTTCTTTCTGCTTTAGCCCTTGGTATCAGCTCACCCCCCCCCTCCCTCCAGTAAACTCTTGATAATTAAAGGTGTTTTTTTTTCATGTCTTACACTGCTGCCTACCTTCACCCACTTTTCTGTTGCCCACCCCCTGGGAGGGGGTTCTATATAGATCATTGTGATCAGTTCCCCCTTTCACCCCCCACCTTCTCCCTACTGTCCTGGTACTGCTCCTCTCATTATTGGTCCTGAGGGGTTTATCTATCCTGAATTCCCTGCATGCTCTGATCTAACCAGATTTGTAAGGTAGGATTGGGTTCATGATAGTTGGGGGTTGGGGGGAGTAGGGAGGGAGGTGGGGGGAGGAGCATTAAAGAATTAGAGGAAAGTTGTAAGTTCCAGGAAAGAGTTTATGATAAACCCGAAGGATTAATTCTATTCTGTTCAGTTGCGTAGGGTCACTCTGAATCAGTATTGATTTGATGGCAGTCAATTTTTTAGATCTTGGTCATGGTTTGGGATTCTTCACTCTCTTCCAAGATATGGTGCCTGGAAGCCCGGGTTCATTGAGGAGGTGGCAGGCTGGTGTTTTCAAACTGTCCCTCATTACCCTTGACTAAAGACAGATGAAGTTTTACTCCCACTAAGGATGTTTTTCCTCAGCTATGGGCCATAGGAACCAAGTCAAGGCAGACTGATCAGCCTGCTGATTCAGATGGTGTGATTGCATTTCTGCGGAACTTAAGGTCCAGTGCCACCAAATTCTGCTCTGTAGAGGAATAATGCCTTTGGGAAGCATTTCCTCTTTACCTCACTGGAACTTAAGGGTTTGAAACGGGAGATGATGGGAGGGCTTCCAACAGCAGAGTTTCTGTGCTGTTCTACATTGTAGCAATACTTCAAGAAGGAAGATCTTATGTGTTGATTAGACTGGAATTACAGCATCTGAGTTTGAAAGAACCTTGAAAGATCTCTGGTCACTAAGTTTCTCACATCCTTACTAGTTCATCTCTTCTGACTATTTTCTAAGGTTGGGGCTGAACCCCTCTTTCTGTGGCTCATTAAGCTATTAGTAACTGAGCACACCTGTGTTCACTCATGTGGAGGTTATCTTCCGGAGGGCTGGGGTGGACCATAAACCCGTAGTTGAGGTAATTCTAGATTGGCTAACTTGTTAGGCCTGGGCGACTTGCAGGGGCCAGTTGTACCTTTTGCCCATATAAATGTGGAGTACACAGAACTGGTAGTGTTGGATCCTATTTTATTGAGCTCATCATCCTCAGAGTTCATCATGCCATAGAATAGTATTCGTAAAGTTATTTGCACTACTTAATGTGAGACATTAAAATGTACTGCCCTTCATATAATCAGTACTTTTACTGAGTACACCCGCTTCTCACTAACATGGTTAGGTTCCAAAACCAGATCATTATTTGGAAGTCGGCATTATGCAAAAGTGAAGGATGGGGAAAAAATGTGTTTTTAAATGAAGGATGACTAACTACATCATTATATAACTGCCAAGCCACTGGGAGACATGGCCCAGGTGAGTTGACACGTAACTTGTTAGCCATCATAGCCCGCAATATGCTTATCTTGCACCTCAGCATTCATTATTGTCAGGTGTAGGTGGACTTGGTTTGCGCTCTGCTGGGGGCTTTGTGCGCATTAATTCCAGTTCGTTTTCAGCAGCACACAGAACAAACGCCTGAGGGTGGCTAAATGACTGGCCCCAGGCTTCAGGGAACTTGCAGTGTGTGTTCTTGCTCTCTTGAGAATGTCTCCTGAGAAGCTTTTTCCTAATACAAATACTTGTGCAAGACCTCAGAGAATCAAAACCCATGCATAGATTGTTGGAGGGTGTGTGGGAACTGCATCCAGGATGTGAGCTCTATAGACCTTTGGTTTTTATTATTTCCTCAAACCAGTGCTTTGAAATGTCTATACTGATTCACCACCACCACCACCACCCACCTGAGAATTTGCTTCTGATTTCCTGAATCAGAATCTCCATTTCAGTCAGAATCCACATGTTATGTACATGATCCCCTGTAGCTTCTGATTCAGTCTATCCAGGTTGGAAAGGCAAATTCTCAGTAGAATCAGAATGAATTAGTTCGAAGCCCAAGTCCTAATTTTCTCTCACCAAAGCCAAACTTAATTCACTTCTGTTGAGTGGATTCTGACTCAGATGAGAATTTTTACTCCCGTAGGAGTTACAGTCTCAGAAACTCACAGGAGCAGTTCTACCCTGCCATGAGTGATTGTCACTAACAGGATAAAAGCCCCAACCTGACGATTGGTTACAGAAGGGCTATGGTTCACTTGGCCGTGGCTAAGCGAGGTTTTCTGGCTGTGAGCTTGTTGAGGTTTTGGGTTGAGGAGACAGGAATGCCCTACCCTGTGGCCCTAGTATAGGCCTCTTCCTATCCTAAGAGTTTTTTTAATATTGCTCCTCTTCTGTAGTTCGGTCGGTTTGTCTTTTAAGACTTTCTTTTAGTTGAGCTATTACATAATAAAACAAGGAGCCCCAGTGCGAAACTGTTAATTGTTTGACTGCTAATCAAAAGGTTGGGGGTCAAACCCACCCAATGGCTCCCCTAGAGGAAGGCCTGGCCACCCCGTGGGACAGCTCAACCTAGTCACTGGCATCTCTGAGTCTTAACCAACTTGATGGCACAGAACAGCAAAGTTAAAACGCATTTGGTGGGTGTGCATTAGAGTCGTGGGAAAAGGTATGAAAACACTGGATGGGGCCCCGTTTATATTATACCATTGCTTTGCTATAACACCCCCCCCCCAATTTACTTATATCTTCTAGTCTTTGTTCAGTAAACTAAAGGGCTTCACAACTTGTGAAAATTCATTTTTCCATGAATGTTTTGAAGCCCCCTTATATATTTTTACTTCCCTCCATTATTTATATAAAATTTTTTTTAATTAAAAAAAAGGATAGGATTAACCAATTATAGGGATTTCTCCCTAGCCAAGAGAACAGAGGGGACAGAGCAAACTGTTCTCTGAGCTCACCTTGTCTTCAGGAATTATTTGAAAGTAAGGAGTGGGGTTTTTTTTCTCTTCAATATAAAAATGCCTTTTTAAAATAAGGACATAAGATGTGTCCATTTAAACATTTTTGAAAGAAGCACGTTTTTGGAACTAAAAACTAAACGAGTTTCTCAAGAGTGTGCGCCATGGAGTAAAGAAAGGGCAGGTGTGAGAAGGCCTTTTCTGTTCAGGCTCTGGGAGGATTACAAGTCACTGGCTGCCCTTCTATGGGTAAAGTCCACGGTTCCAGGGCAGAGGGCTGGGGCGCTACTGGGCTCCATTGCTCCATGGGGATGAAGACAGTCCTCAAGAACGTGCTGCACTGGAGTGCGTTTTTGGTGGAAGGTGACAAACCACCTTCTTTGCATGGTTTGACTCCTGTGAATAGTGGAAGAAGAGGAGTGAGTATGTCCTTTGTCAGGATTTGCTGATTTCTGTCCTCTCCTTACTCTGCATGCAGTGGACTGACGGCCCCTAAGCGCAGCCGCGGAAAGCCAGCCCTGTCTCGAATGCCCTTCCTGGACAGTGTGAATGGAGATTCTGACTACAATGACTCAGGTGAGGAACTGGTCCAGGCAGAGCTGAGGTAGAGTGGGCCTAGACTCTGCAGGACACTTCGAACGGGCAGCCAGCCCCTGTGCGCCAAATCCTCGGGCACCAGGCGGGAAGGTGGCCCTTCCACCCAGGTCATTCACGCTTTTTTTTAATTGGTGAATTTGAACAGTTCATGCATACGCTTGATAACAGAAACAGGAAAAGCCCAGAAGGACTTAGTACGAAAAGCAGCAGTCCCTTCCCGAGTAACAGTTTCCCCAGCACCTACTTCTAGCAGTCTCTCTAGTTCTTTTCCAAAGTAATCCATACGGACACAGCCAAAGGTCAGCACTGAGAAGCCTCCTACGTGCAGGATGTTCTAAACCAGGCCTTTTATTCACTTAGTTATGGACAAGGGAGCTTCCAAAAGTCCATGGAAAAATGTATCTCTTTGTTCAATTTTACATGAATTTTTTGAAGCCCCATCATCTTCTTCGAGATCCTCCTGGTTTGATCCCCTCAGAGCTGCCTTCCTGCTTTCTATCAGCTGCCCAAGGTTCCACTGCCAGAGGAGTGCCATTACACATTTAGCCCGCCTGCCAACGAGGGACATTGGGATAGTTGTTGCTTATTTGCTTTCGCAATCTCCAGGGAGCATTCTTGTAGGTAGAGCACTTTTTACACACAGGAACTGTGTCTATGGAAGTGAAATTGCTGTATGGAAGGATGCTTTCGTAATTTGGTCGATACAGCCAAGTCTGCCCTCATGAGGGCATGTCTTGCTGAATCTCCTATATAAACCCTGTAATTTCATGTTATCCAATGCTTTCAGCCCTCTCTTCAAAAGATGTTATATAATCCACTGGTCCAAACAGTGTGAGGGGACGTCACAAAGTTCATGGGGGGAAAATGTGATTAAAAGATAATGACATTTTTCCACAAATTCTTTTGAATCCCCCCTCATAAAATACCTGGGCCAAAGGGGTGGGGGTTGGGGCCAAGAGGAAAGGGCCTGGGTGGTGGTCAGGTGAAGCAGGTGCAGAGAGAGCGATTTTTGAGCTCACTGCCCAGCTTTCTAGGAAGCAAATGCATTCTCTGGATGCCCTGTCTTTGAAGCTGCTGCCAGCATAAAAACCTCGGAGCTGCTCTCCCCTCTCTCTTCCTTTTCCAAGCAACTCTATTTTTTCCTTGCATCAGTTCTGTGTGTGTTAATGGATACATGCCTGTATGTCCCATTACTGTCTGTGACTGTCAGCTCCCAGAAGGCAGGGCTCGTGTAGAGACATCCAGCGTCCAGCCTAAGACCAGGAGCAGACTGACACACAGTTGTGCTTCTGGTGGTGACGTCTTATTCTTAAAGTGTACGAAGATACATGTTTATGATGGAAAATGGTGCCAAAGGACATTGGCCTCACATTCCCACCAGCCTAACCCAGTTGTCTTCATTTCTCTGCTTATTTTAGGACCATTTTTAACCAAACACAGACACCTTTGCTGCTTTCCCCCCACCAATGCTATGCTTTTCTCCCCTTTGACGCATAATCGCTCTACTTCTCATTTATTTGAGCAGTGTATCTCCTGATCAGTTCACTATAGATTACGCAATCATTCTTCAGTTGTTAGGCATTTAGGTTATTTCAAATTTGTGACATAATAGGGTGGTCTATATTTTTGCTCAAAATCATTTATCAAGCTATCTTTCTTAACCTAGCTTAAGAATAAATTCCCGGGGAAGGAACTTACTGGAGCAAATGGTTCACACTTGTTTTTAATGGCTCTTGGCACGTGCCACAAAATCGTATTCTGCAAGGGTTGAACTGGTCTGTAGTTGCATCAGCAATGTGTGATGGCCCCAGCTCCCCCTTCGGAGTTTGTGTTTATCTTTCAGTTACTGTGTTCGACTCAATAGGTACCAAAGAAGGCATCATTATTAGCTTAGTCCTTTTTTTTTCCTTTTAAGTCACAAGGGTGGTTATTTCCTTCAAAACATAATTTCCACACTCTGGGGTTTGGCTTTTTTCCACAGTTGAGTGAGGTCACTTCCTTAGGCAAGGACAGAGTTGTTCCCGGGGATTCAGAAGCTTGTTGGAGTGCGTGAGGTGAGTTCAGGAAGCTGAGGAGATGTAAGGCCTGCCCCAGGCTGAACACCCAGGGCCTGGCAAGAGCAAGGAGGTGGAGGACCTGAAAACCCAAGCCTGCTGAGCCTTCTGCATCCAGAGAACTAAGCAGCTGACCAGGGCGATCCCTTTCTGAAGAGAACTCATTTAGCAGGAACGGACTAGGGATTCCTTTCCAGACATCTTTGTCCAGGGAGCTGCCTCCTTCATGGGGACTCCCTGCTAGAGAGGCCCAGAGAGCAATTCAAGGGGGCTTCCAAGAGTTTGTGGGAAATGGAATTATAGGAGAATAGATTTTTCCAGGAATTCTATGAAGCTCTTTGCCCTGTGGCTTTTTCTGAGCTGGAGCTGGATCATTTCCATTGGGCCCTGGTGCTGAAGGAAAGTTGCCCACCTGACCCAACCCATTAGTCCACAGCCTAGAGCCTCACAGCTTGTTTTTGGTAGGCCCTCCAGTGACCCGTGGTTCTGATACTTTTACATGATTGGGGGGAAGGGAAATCCAGGATAAAAGTATTTCGTAAGGGGTGAAAAAAATGCATGAAATTCAGATTTCAGTGCTTGTAAATATTTATTGAGCCACAGCCTCCTTAATTGTTTTTGGCTTGCCCATGGTTGCTTTCATGCTATTGTAGTAGAGTTGAGACACCCTAAGTAAGGCCCATAGACACTGAAAGACTTCCATCTGGCCCTTTACAGGGAAAGCTTTCTTGGACCCAAGGGAGAGGAAGGGTGGAGGGGATGTTGCTGATTCATTTCTGGGCTGCCCCAGTCAAATGGAGGCCACACTCAGGCCTCTGGGCACCATTCCAAGTCCCCTTGGGCACTGTCTCCTCCCCTCCCCCACCCCCAGGCAGAAGCCTCCTGATGCCCTTTGAAGACCGCGGAGACCTGGAACCCCTGGAGCTGGTGTGGGCCAAGTGCCGAGGCTACCCCTCCTACCCCGCCTTGGTGAGTCTGCCCCAGACACCACCTCCCACCCTAACCTCCCACGGGTGGGTCTGGCCCCTGCCTTGCCTCTGGGGCTTATCTGAGTGGATTAAGCCAACAGTGTGTGGTGAGGGTCAGAATGCCTTCAGCTACAGAAGGGAGGGAAGTCTTATCCCAGCCTGGGTGGGTCAGACCAGCAAGGCTCACAGCTAGGGGCTAAAGCTGTGGACAAGAGACTAGGGTTCTTAGGACTTTAATGGCATATGCTTATTTGATCATGCATGAAAGGTATATGAGATTGTGGTAGAGAATTTAAAAAGCTAATAATGTCAGGAAGGGAGGGGTGGCTCTCAACTCTGGCTACTTAGCATGACACCTACCAGAGTAAGGCCTTCAAATACCAAGGAAGGTTCAGCTACTCCATTTTACAAGGAAGAAAACCAAAAGACTGCTTGCTTACCTGTGGTCCTGTCACTACAAGCACCAGGGAGTAAGTGAAATGCGTGATGTCAAGTGCTATGCTCTGAGCCACTAAGTTCAAGATCATCCACAGCCCCATCTGTGCAGAGATAACTTCCGAAAGGTGCCTTCAGCCTTTTTTACTGCAACCTAAAGCATTTATAGGGCAGACCACACTTCATTCTTAACTTCTGTTTCACTTAACAGCATACTATGAGCATGAGCGTCTTAGGTCATTAAACAGTCTTCATAAGCATCACAGTAACGACTACATTGCGCCCAGTTGTTTGCATGCACCATCATTTAACCTAATTGGCCCTTTAGATCATTTTGAATATTCACTATGACAAACAGCATAAGCATTGGGCTAGCTCTACCTTTGTGCACATACATGTCTACAGTCAGTTCTACAGGGTGCCTTCTTGGGAAGGTGGGTGCAGTATTCTGTGGCCTGGCCAGGCTAGCTTTAGAAAGTTGGTTCTTGTTACATTCTTGCAGGCAGTAGCTAACAGTCCATTTCTTCCACGGCTTTACTACCCTGAATGTAATTTCATAGGGCTCTTTCTGTGCTCACAACACTCTGGAATCCCAAACTTTTACAACATAACAGCAGGCCTAGAGACATCTTTGAACAATGCAAATGCTGAGCTCCCAACCTTAATTCCCACCCACCCCCAACCTCCCCCAGATCCAAAGTCACTGCCATTAAGTCAGTTCTGACTCCTATGAACCTACAGGACAGGGTAGAACTGCCCCATAAGACTGCAGTCTTTACTGAAGCTGACTTTGCCCTGTGGAGTGGCCACCTTGTAGTTTGTAGCTGAATCCTTAGGGACTACACCACCAGGACTCCTTTGGTCCCAAACTCTCTGGGGCCAAATAGAGCCATGAGTACTTTTTAAAAGGCTTCCAAGTGACCTATAGCCAGAGCTGATAGCCACCACGTGGCCCTACCAGCTCTGGAATGCCCATTGTGCTCTGGGCTTCTCCCAGCTCCTTCACATCCATGACACATGATACTGACAGCAATCTTTTAAAATGAAGAGACCAGGGATTCTGATCCTCTTTGGGCAGGGTGAGGAAACCATAACCCCTGGAGCTAGTATTGGGGTCCACATGGCTGTCCGCCTCCCTCATTAGCTGGGCCAGGCAGGGATCCCACATGGTGGTCTCTGCAGCTGACAGGTCTAACCCTGGGGGCTGCCTTCACTCCCTATGCTCGGGGTCTGCCGTAGGTGATACTCTGGCAGCTTAGCTCACTGAAGGAATGCTTAAGGCTACGCAGGTTTGGGGTTTGTTCTTTAAAAACTTCCCCAGAAGGAGGAGTTTAAAAAGCGGGGAGCAGTTTAAAGTTGGTTTCATTTCTAGTCTGAATTATTTTCATAATCATTTATTCAGTATTGAAGAAATTCTACCAATGCCTGAACCTAGGTGTATGCTCTCTGTCTTTTCCTCGTGCATACCTAAATATGTACAAAGGGGCACTGCAGAAGGTTCCTGAGAAAAGTCCTTTCTTTCTACCCCATTTTGCCATTTTTTGAAGCTCTCACTTTCATCAATAGTGAAGACGTAGTTTTTAACATGAAAAAAAAATTTTTTTTGGACTGAAAATAATTTATTCAAATGATAGGTCTTTTGGAAAACTCCATGGGGAGGGCAAGTAATGCAAAACCCCACCATCCTAGTGTGTACTGTAAGCATTGTGTATCGTCTCTTTTTTTTTAATAATAGTGTATCCACATTTATTATATATTGAATTGTATCGCAATCTTTATGTTGCTTCACATCTGTATAACATTCCATTGAATGAGTGGACTGTTATTTGGAACAAAATTGCTACCGTCTTTGAAAGGGAGGGAGGAAAGGTCTCCTCAAAAGGCAGACTTACCTTGCTTTTGTCCTTGGGAGAGACTTTTTTGAGAACTCCTAGCGCCAAGGAAGGAGCCTTGGTGGCATAGAGGATTATGCATTGAGTTGCTAGTTACATGGTCAGCGGTTCAAACCCATCAGTTGCACTGTGGGGAAAAATGACAGGTCTCTTCCCTTAAAGATTTGAGAGTCTCAGAAACCTAAAGAGGCAGTTCTACTCAGATATATAGGGTAACTATGGGTCAGAATCAACTCGTTGGCAGTGAGTTTATTCTGGAAGGAGCCTTGTTGGCTCAGTGGGTAGAGCGCTCATTTGCTAACTCAAAAGTTGGTTCAAAACCACCAAGCTGCTCCATGGGAGAAAGATGTGTTGGTCTGCTTTCCTGAAGATTTCATGCCTTGGGAAGCTCTCTCTATAGGGTCCCAGTGAGGCAAGGTGGGCTTGCAGACTTGTTGGTTGGGTTCTCACCCCCGCAGCACCGGGAGGACTCCTCAGAGTAGTTCCTGTAGTTAGTAGTCCAGGAAGCCCAGGATGTGGTGGTTCTTGATAGCACCTTTAGCTTTAGTCTCAGGAGGGACAAACTAACAGATACACCCATACAACCCAACTCTGGGTTGTCTTGTTGAACCCCCTTCTGAGAATTGCATTTCCACCCTAGATAACCAATTGTATTTTAACAACACCCAGGTGATTCTCATAGCCCCAGGAATATACAAGAATCACCTGGGGATCTTGGGAAACTACAAGTTCTGATTCAGTACATTGGGGGTGGGGGGTGTGTGGAAATGTCAGTTCTTAGCAGGGAGTGGAACTGGAGTGAAGTGGTTTGAAGTCCTGGGCTGGCAGGCTAGACAGCCAGGGGGTGGTTCTCCCTTAAAGTCTTAACGGGAGCACCTGCTTTCAGCTGCTATTAAGAGGACCGTGGGGAAGCTGGTAGACATCCAGAAATGAATACTGAGAGCAGGTTAGTGTGAGCAGAGGCCCCCTGGGGAAGGGCACTGAGATGGCTTTGTCTCGGGAGAGGAGGTGGCTGCTGCCTCGGTACAGCTCAGTTCCAAGTCTCTCTGCTTCTGGGTGCAGGGATCATCAGCACTGTTCTGAAGTGCCTGTGTGGGAGGCAGCACAGGCCGGGGCCTTATCCAAGCCACTGGCTTCCACCTGCCCCATCCTCTTTCTGTGCTTGGCACTTTCTTCTGTCTTCGAATCACTGCCTCACAAACTTCCCAGCACTGGCACGAGGTTGGTAGAATGAGATGATCCTGTGCAATCGGGGCGTTAGCTGGAGACGTGTTGCTGTGCCGGTGCTACTCGGCCTTGGGCCCACCATCCTCTAGTGCAGTGGTTCTCAACCTGTGGGTCGAGAACCCTTGCGCGGGGGGTGTTGAACGACCCTTTCACAGGGGTCACCTGATTCATAACTGTAGCAAAATGACAGTGATGAAGTAGCAACGAAAATAATTTTATGGTTGGGCGTCACCACAGCATGAGGAACTGTATGAAAGGGTCGCTGCATGAGGAAGGTTGACAACCCCTGCTCTAGTGGCTCTTGTTTTCCACTCACCATTCCCCCTCTCTAGCAGCCCTCTGCATCCAGCCTTCTTGCTCTACAGTGAGCCTTCTCTCTGATCCTGGTGGGGCCTTTGGGGTGACACGGAGGTGTCACACATGTATGTGGTTGACACACAGGAAGAATTGTAGTCAGACAGGAATGGGTACTGCCATCCTCATAGCCATGATGCCTGGTGGGCCCAAGCTTGGGCATGAGTTGCGAAGATCCCAAGGGAAATTGACAGGCACAAAAGTGACTTCTACTCTTTTCTCCTAAAGGACATTGGGAGGGAAGGGCTTTTCCCATCTGGCCTAGATATCAGTATCCCGCTCAATTCTGACATCCGCTTCCAGCTAGCTCTGCTTCAGACCTGGGGCCCCTACAGTTCATTAAGCAAGTGCCTAGTTCCTGAAAAGACTGGTCAGCCTCAGATTAGACTAGTGAAAGAGTCAAGAGTTCTGTCTTGGGGTCCTGGAAGTGGTCAGCCTCTCCATTCCATGGTTTGGGGCTTAGCAGAGCCCCTGCAAAGCGTTATCATGGGGTGACTCAGCATCTAGTCCTGGCTAGGGTTCCTTTCCTGCCCTTGCTGAGTGCCTCCATCCTTTCCTCCCTCCAGATCATCGATCCCAAGATGCCCCGGGAGGGCCTCCTGCACAATGGTGTCCCCATCCCAGTACCCCCGCTGGATGTGCTGAAGCTGGGAGAGCAGAGACAGGCAGAGGCTGGAGAGAAGCTCTTCCTTGTCCTCTTCTTTGACAACAAGCGTACCTGGTGAGTGGGCAATGCTACCAGGGAGGGTCTGCACCAGTTATGCCCTGTGGGGCCCAGGCTGGGAGGCTGCTGGATGCTGAGGAGCCGTAAAGGTAAACAGAGGGGCTGTGGCCTGTCCCCGGTCTCCCAAAGTGAAGGGTGAGGCACTTTCTGCATGTAGCCAGTCTACTCCGTAGGTTGTGGTAACTGTCACAAATCAGTATTGTACTGGGGATCCATTGGGGAGAACCCTCGAGTCAGGGCCTCTGGGGGTGGGAGACGCAGAGGAAAGAGTTAAACTGTGATGCGCTTAAAACTGAAGCCACAGCTATTCCTGCAGGAACTCTGGAGCTAGGTGGTCATGTGGATGTGTCTGGAATTGGGGCTGTATCTTTGTGTCCCGTCCCCAATCCCCCATCAACTAATCACTGAATGCCAGCTGCCCTGGGGAGGGGCCAGACAGCTCTTTGGATGGAGGGCGATTCCTAGAAAGACTTCACTGGGAACCTGCCAGCTGGCAGCATGAGTGTCTCAGTCCCAATGGGTTTCTGAACAACTCAGGGAAGGCCCTGCAAGGGCTTCCTTGCCCATGGTTTCCCCACAGCTGGATTTCCTGGGCCCGAGTGCTTCTGCCCAATGAGGAGGTAGGTCTAGCTGGCGAAAATAATGATGCTAATTGTGATGATAATAGCAACAGCCACTTATTGAGTGGCAGTCTCCTTATTCAAATGCTTTATATCCATGATCCCATTTAATCCTTATTTAAATCCTCATTAATTCCCTCACAATCCATTTTGCAAATTAGGAAAATGTGCAGAAAGCCAAGACCTCAGAGTCAGAGCTGGGCTATAAACCAACCTTTGGCTCCAGAGACTGTGCACTGACCCACGTGGTAGATTGCCTGGGGAGTGCTCCCAGCTTCCCTCAGAGCCCTCCAGGCTGGCCCAGCCAGTTCAGAGCATGGGACATAGGCCTCTCCCTGCTCCTGGGCCCTGACTGCCCTCCAGGCCTAGTTAGTGCTGGATGCAGGAAAGGACCTGGATGCGGAGCATGACGCATCACGTCACACCACCACACCACACAACGACTTGTTACACCGACTCTTGGCAGTAGCCTGCCTAGCATGTCCCAGCCAATTCTTCATCACTCTCTCTTCCCTGTGGCCTTGCTGGTCTTAGGCCATTGGGTCTCAAGGAGGCCCTTCATGGGACCTGTTCTGACCCAGGCCTCTTGGTGTGCTTCCATTTCAGGCAGTGGCTCCCAAGAGACAAAGTCCTGCCCCTGGGTGTGGAAGACACCGTGGACAAGCTCAAAATGCTGGAAGGCCGCAAGACCAGCATCCGCAAATCTGTGCAGGTGGCCTACGACCGGGCCATGATCCACCTGAGCCGTGTCCGGGGGCCACACTCTTTCGTCACCTCCAGCTACCTGTGAAGGCAGGGTCTGGCCTGTGGCTGCCAGCCCTGCCTCCGTCCCATGGGGCACAGAGATGTCTTCCTGCCCCAGCCAGATGTTTGGCTGGAAGTTTCCCCCTTTCATGGCAGGCCAGGGGCTGGGATCGTGTTTCCCCAAGAGCCAGGCCCCAGCTTTGACCAACTGCATGGCTCTCCTGGCAGGCCTGCTATGTGCCAAAAACTCCCACAAGGTCCCTTCGGGGATAGTCCACTGAAGAGCCAGCTAGAAGTAGAAATTGCTGAGGAGCCCCGGGCCCAGTGTTCCTGGCCCAGTGTACGAGGGTCCTGTGCTCCTCGAAATGCTGCCTGGCTCCTCCACCCCACTTCCAGTTAACTCCACCTCAGGGTGGCGAGGCTCTGACGTTAATCCCAGAGGTGCTGTGGATACACTAGGGCCCTACTCAGAACCTCACCAAACTCCCCCTTAAACCTACCTTCTCACCCTTTACTGTTCTCATGTTCTGCTCTCAGTCACTCCCCCGCCCCCCTCCCCCCCAATTCCTCCCCATGTTCCTTTCCTTCCTCTTTCGTGCCAAACTGACAGAAACCATCCCAAAGTGATCTTTTTCTTAAATGTCTTTACTGCCTCAGTCTCCTGAGGCCAGCTGCCGAGCTTGGGTGGGTGCCCCCACCTGGCTCCTAACCTTAAGTTCGCATCTGCCACAGACCCACCGCTGTGAGCACCTTCCCCCTCAGACTGCACGCAAGGCCCCTCCTGCTCCTGGCCTTGCTGAAGGGTGGGCTGAGGCTAAGTAGACAGGTTTACCAGGCTAGGCTCTGCTTGTGGTGGTGGGGTGTCCATCTGTCCACTGGATGTTGAGGGCTATCTGAAGTAGAGCTGCTTCGTGCCCTTCAGCTGGGTGTACCCCTGACCATCCTGTCCTTTCCTCTCTGCATGGACTTTTATTGATCTGAATCCACACCCTCAGTATCACTTCGCCACCTGGGGCTGGCCTGGGGCTTCAGTCACCATCGTCCTGTCCTGCCCAGCCTCTGCTGCTCCCACCCTCAAACTCCAGGGAATGCCACATTTGGATTTCAAACCTTCCCTACCGTTTTCCCTTCCCTCTTTCCCTTCAGGGCCCCTCCCTCCCCATACCGGCTCAAAATGGAAGGAAAAAAAAAACTGTGAATGGGGAACGTTGACTGACAAACCACCGCCGCTCTCAGCGCTTCCGTGCTGGGTTGCAGGCCACTGGTCGCCATGTTGCTTTCTAACCTGACCGGGTTTGGTGGTGGTGGTGGTGTTTATCATGAGTTTACATTTTGTTGCAGGGAAGTTTTGGATACAATGAAGTCGCTAGGGCGATCACTGCCATTTTTACACACTCGGCTTTTTAAAGAAATAGAACCAACCACGCGGCAACTTCTTACCCATTTGGGACACGAGCCAGAGTTTAAAAACAAATCCAACAAAACTATCTGTGACTAGAGGATGGGGTTTGGGATTTTGTACAATATTAAAACTGCAATACAGCCCGTGGCTAGGGAAGGCCATGGTGTGTACATAGATCACTGTAAAATACTGTTCTAAGTTATTCCAGCCTGTCGGTGCCATGACTGGAGTCCCCCATTGTGTGGCTGAGTGTTTGGAATGCACACAGTGTCGTTATTTAAAGGAGCCAACATGTCCCCTCTCCCCAGGTAGTTGGTCAGCTGTGGACTTTGTGACCTGTGTCTCAACCTGTGTTTAAACTCTTGGGGTTTTTGCCCTCACTCTGTCTCTCTACACCTTTCTTCCCTGACACACTCGCCCTCTATTCCACCCCCACCCCCAACTCTTGTCTCTGAATCTTCCAGTCTCTGAGTCTCATTTTTTTAAATACTCTTTTAGAACGAGAAACGGCTCAGATCCTGCTTTGGCATGGGGCCTGCGGGTCTCTGCCGCGTCTGCTGTGAAGCACATGATGCTCTATTTATTGTAGAAAGTGACTTTATTTGCTTTCTAGAATTGTTTATAACAGATGGTATAAGAGGTAATAAACAGAAAAAAAAATCTATGCTTGTAAAGAATACAAAAGTTAATTTTACCTACTATAATATGACTGTCTACAACTTATTTTCTCTCTGAGAAATAAATGTTCTAATGGGCAGCAATTGCTGTGGCTGTGCTTGGTGTAATCAGTGGGGGGCTGTCCCACTTTAATTCTTAGCCTATTCCCTCCTCAGAAAGCCTTATTGTCTGGTGCCACAAAGTCTGTCTGACTCATCACAACCCTGTGCACAACAGGGAAATGAGCAGGCCGGGCTGTGAAAAGGGGCTGGCCAGCTTTTGCACGCTGTTAGGTTGAGTAGGGTGAGAAGTCTCTTGGATGCCTAGGAAAGGCATGTAGATGGCTCTGACTTTTGTTTCCCTCCCGAGTACAGGTGGCTCCTTCCCTTCTGGAAGCTGTGGAAGGTCTGGACCAATCCCCACATTCATTTCTCTGGCCACGCTCCTTGGGAGCATCTGTTCTCCATTCGGGTGAAGGAAATGGGATGGCCCCTGGGCACTTCTGGTTCCTGTTGATCATGCTAGCTGAATTCTAGATGCAAGATGCTCCAGCCTCCTCCATCGCTGGGATCTCATTCTGTGGGTGGGTAGCTGGGACAGAGCATGAGCTGCGCTTTGTGAACCGGAGAGGTCCCTGGAGCTTGTCTTGTCTTCATTTTACACCTGAAGAAGCACATCCAGCAGCAGTGGGGCTGGAAAACTGGCCCAAGGCCAGCCAGCTAATCCATGCCCTCAGAATCCCAGAGCAAGGACCTGGCCAAGGCTTGCTTCCTGTGCCCCACAGCATCTCAAGGCTGCAGTTCCCTGTCCAGTGCTATGCTTCCCTCGGTGGCCAGGGCTTCAACCTTTTCAGAAAGGGGCATTACACTTTGAAAGAGGTCCTACCGTTTCTAAGACCAGTTTCTCTGGCAGGTGGGACTTGGACCTGTATTTCGAGAGGAAGGGAGGAGCAGGTGACAGGTCACTGGAGGTGATCACTGATGGCCAACCGGGCAATTGGAAGGATGTCTGAGGAGGCTAAGGTGAAGAATAGACCTGAAGAAAAGCCGCCTACAGGAGAACCCTGGTACTCGACCGCATCAATACTCGACATCATCGGGTTTTGACGTGAAATGTCGAGAAAATTTTGCATTGAAGCACAAACAAAACATCAGAATCCGACCCGACACACGTGGTGTTTGTGAACAGAAGCAATTTGTGCTTTGGTCTTGGCGTTAGTATGCATTGTTTAAACCTTTTGCGGCTGTGTTCCAAGCGTTTTGCTTTAATTTTCTTGGGTTTTGTGGCTTTCTATATACTGTTTCTAGATTAAAAACGGGTCCTTAGAGTTTTCTGAAAAGAATCGAGATAAGGAACTAGTTAACGGTGTCGTTGACACTGTTGATGGTCATTTGGTAAATCCTTTTAGAAAACAGTTCAGGAAATGGCAACAGCAGACCACATAGATTTTTTTAAGAGAAAGCCACCCAGGTCCTCGTGAAAAAAGGCAAAGAAGGGAAATAACTCCTGAAAAGCAGCTACCGGTTCATTTTACGGAAGGGGGAGTCCCCTTCCAAACAGTGGCTCTCTCTCCATCCCTCGTCTCCACATCCGTGTCCACAGACCCAGATCCTCATCAGTCTCAAGGTATGGGCCATACTGTAGTTGTTAAACACTTTTAATGTTGTGTTTCTTATTTAAATTATATTATTTAACTCTGAACTTATTTTCTCTTAATGTTTTGTATGAAAAGGCAAGGTCAGGATAAAAACTTGGTGGCCGAGAACGGATTATTCTGTTTTCAGTTAATTCTTATGGGAAAAATTGATTCGGAACCCGACTGCATCGCATTTCGATGCTCCTTTTAGAACGGATTGGCGTTGAGGGGGCGGGGATGGGGGTGAGGCTGGAGACAGTACCATCAGAGGAATTGGGGCCCCAGAGAAGGCTCTTCCAGAGAGAAAGCCCTGTGGCTCTTCATGGCCCCACTGGCTCATTTCACAGACGTAGTAAAAGGAAGGAAAGGTCTGTTGGGTGCTCAGCATCTGCAAACAGAAGATCAGTTTCTACCTACCACTTTCAGAACCTTCTAGAGCAATGGCTCTCAACCTTCCTAATGCCACACGACCCTGTCACTCAGTCCCTCATGTGGTGACCTCCCCCAACCATAACATTATTTTTGTTGCTACTTTATAACTGTAATTTTGCTACTGTTATGAATCGGGCGATCCCTGTGAAAGGGTCGCTTGACCCCCTAAGGGGTTGCAACCCACAGGTTGATAACCACTGTTCTAGATTCATGTGGAAAGTGTCCTTAGGAATTTTACCAAAGCTGTGGTTAAAAATCTATGGACTCAAAAAAACAATCCATGGACTCAAGTCAAAAATGGTCAAGTATGGGAGCATGTGAGGGCACTCTGACTAGCAATAGTCCAAGTTTTGTTTTGTTTTTCTTAAATGCACATCTCTGTCTCTTTAAATCATTTTATTGGGAGTTCTTACAGATAGAACAATCCATAATTCATTTAGATCAAGCATAATTGTATAATTTCTACCACCATCATTTTCAAAACATTTTCTTGAACTCTGATATCAACTCCCCCTTATCCCCTCCCTCTACCACCTGCGGGAGTCCTTATTATATATTTTTTTTGCTGCATCTTGCACCACCCAATGTATCCGTTCACCTACAATTCTGTTATTCGTTTCCCTCGAGTGGGGTTTTCCAGTCATTGTATCAGTAGTCTCCCCCACTCTCTTCCCATACTCTCAGGGAATCGTTACTTCCTTTACTATTTCTGCAGGGTTTATCTATCATGCATGGAATGATCTTAATTATGCAAATGAACATATGCAAATCTAACAAGATTAAAGAGGTAAAACTAAGACCATAATAGTAAAAGGAGGAAATATTAAAGAACTAGAGCAGAGTTATGTGTTCCATCACTGCTATACTGCACCCTGGATATATCATCCTTTCCCTGTGGCCCTTCTGTGAGGGACTGTCCAGTTATATTACTAGGTGGATTTGTGGCCTCTACTATGCCTACGTTCCTTCGTCAATTTGATTACTTGTATTTGAACTTGTGATACCTATACCCATCAATACCTCATGATCACAGGCTGGTGTGCTTCTTGCATGCAGGCTTTGTTGCTTCCCTGCTAGATGGCTTCTTGTTTAACTTCAGACCTTTAAGACCCCAGGTGCTCTATCTTTTAATAGCCAGGCACCATCAGCGTTTTTCACCACATTTGCTTATGCAACCATTTTGTCTTCAGCAATTGTGTTGGGAAGGTGCGTATCATTATTGCCACATTATTAAAACAAACTGTTCTTTTACCAAGGTAAGATTTAAGTAAAGGCCCAAAGTCCATCTGCTTCCTTATTGTGTGTGTGTGTGTGTATACATATACACACACAAATCTATATATTTACATATATGCATATTTATACCAATACATATAGTTTTTACTTTCTTGTTCTTTCATCTTTTTCTTCTTTCTTTCCTCCTGCCCCACTATAATGTTTACCCATCATTCACCTCTTAGTAATTCCTCTTGGGTACATTTCAATTGATCAAACACAACCAGGAACGTACACACTCCTCACCGTGATTTTAGATACTTGCTGTAATAGTCCCATTTTTCTACCAACTTTAAAATATTAAAAACATTCACCTCTTAGTAATTCCTCTTGGGTACATTTCAATTGATCAAACACAACCAGGAACGTACACACTCCTCACCGCGATTTTAGATACTTGCTGTAATAGTCCCATTTTTCTACCAACTTTAAAATATTAAAAACATTTACTAACATCTCGGAAGTGTTGGGCTGGATTCTTCAGAGAAGCAAAACTAATGCCATAGGTGACAATCGACAGAAACGTACATCAAAATGGTCCTCACAGGTGTAAAAGCAGCTAAGTCTGATTTCAAGTCAGTGTGTCAGAGTAGCTTCAGGGGCCGATGAGCCCAGGGTGGCAGGAACACCACAGGCTGCAGAGGCGGATGAGTCCAAGGTCGGCAGGTGAGGCTTGTCCCTGGAGAGGTGAGTGTATCCAAGGTTGGTCAGAAAGCAGGCCACTGATGATTCCCAGGATCAGCAGGAAGTTAGCTCCAGGACCCTATATGAGCCAGATACAGGGTCCAGATCCCGCAAAATGAAAAAAAGCAAGCTTCCCACAGCATCTTTTGGCTCCGGAGGCTCAGAATCATGGTCTTGGGGGACACCAAAGTCAATTGGCAGAGTACGATGTTCTGCATCCTATTTAGGTAATCAGTGACAAGTCTTAAAAGCTTGTGAGTTGCCATCCATGAAGCAACTATTGTTCTTTCCCCATCTAGGAAAACGAGTGAAACAAATTGAGGACACATGCAAATAATTAGTGGAATGGATTAAAGGGCCATGTAGACATCAGGCACTGTACCCCCAGAGGAGAACTGGATGGTGCCCAGATCTGCAAGGGATCCCGTTAGGAGGTCCTAGACCGATGGGAGAAAAACGTGAAGTGCAGTCATTTAACAACACATACACTTACTGATGAGATAGAGGCCAGTGCAACCTCTGAGCCTAGCCCTGAATGGTCCTCATCTAGAACTGACCTCATGCCAGTGGTGCCGTTTCCAGCCAAATCAGAGGTCTATACAGCGGGAAATCCTGTTACCTAGGAACAGGTATATTTTTGTCAAGGCAAGTCCTCAGTACTACTTTCCTGGCCTTTTTCTCACCAATGCAGTTCTTAATGTTCTGTTTTTCAAAGCCGTTTTATTGGGAGCTAATTCAGGTATCATATTCCACAGTTCAGTCACACCACACCACGATCAGTGTCCAGACACTTCTTTCTTGAACTGCTTGATAGCAGTTCCCTTTCACCTACCCCCACCCCTTCTGTACCCCCAGGAAACCGGATTCTACGTGTTGTCTCTAAAGGGTCATCAATCCTGGCTTTCATATACCGGAAGACAGCAGAATTCAAGAGGGCTCCCTACAATGTCAAAATACATCAGAAATAAATCCCAATATATATATTTAAAAAAATTTTTAATGTTGAAAAACAGGTCAGGCCCAATGAGTGACAAGATTTTAATGTTTCATTATAAGCCCTTGTGCTTTGAAAAGAAT